CCAGCGGCTTTGCCTCGTTTTGTGTGCGCTTCAATAGAAAAATAAATAAGTCAGCGAGAGCCGACAAGACGACGTTTCGGCCAGACTGACTGGCACCTTTTTTTTTTTTTTTTTTTTTTTTTTTGGCCGCTTTTCTAATGAATACGACGCTAAAGAGGGGGAGAGAGAGAGACCGAGAGTGAGAGAGCGACAAAGACTGAGCTGCTAAGGATGCTGCTATAAGAATGCAAGCAAATGGCTTTGAGAGGCTGCGGCTAATTGATAGCTGCTGCTGCCCCATATCTACTATATACACATTGTAATATATATTCTTGGTGTGGTATATATGTATGTGCACTCACCTGCTTTGCGCACAGGTGTCGATAATTCGGCCATCAGGTCGGCCAGATTCTTCCTTTGTCCAGCTTCATTCAGCGGCGATATTAACTTCTGCATGTACGTAAAATCCTATTCAAAGAGATAGAGGGAGGGAGAGAGAGGGGAGAGCATTATCTTCTATATCTTCAGTTTAAATATGCTGCACGTGCCAGATAGGGCTTAGACGACGTCAATTTAGATATGCCACAATCTACATATAATGCGTCAATATCATATAATAATTAACACGTCTCTCCCGAAATATCTCCATCAAATAAGCTTTATAGCTGTCGTAAAACCAATTAGTCTAATAGCGCCTACATATAAATCTTGGCCTAAATCAACTTATTTTTACTATTTTTATTAATTAATGCTTATATATGATATATCAAAACTAGATTTATTCGCATAATTTCTATATATTTCATTGTGTGAGGTTAGGCTGTTGTGGCAGACAGAGTTGCCACCTGGCAGTGCAATAAGAAGGATCTGCATTTATATTACCTTGTGATCAGCAGTTATTCGACAATATTTAACCGTGAGATTGTGAGAATAAGACTCTCTTTTGCATAACACTAATTGCATTGCCTAATGTTAATTTATAGCCTAAAGGGATTTCGGGATATTTGAATAGATTTCAATGAGTGAGGTTAGGTTGTTATGGCAGACAGAGCTGCCACTGGGCAATGCAATAAGAAGATGCAATGATAATGAACAAATTGTCTGGACAATAAGACATTTGGAATGAAGTAGAGCCTACATGTAAAAACTATCCAATTGGACATTATTGACTACATAATAATCGTGCATGGTTAAAAAAAGGAGCTAAATTTATTATTACGATATTTGTGTATATATTCCGGGACTAACTAGATGATTTATAGGCCTATATCTTGAGAGGGCTAAAATCGGATTTACCTATAAATTTAATAAAGTCACATTATGGAAGATATAACTTTTTTTGTATGTAGTTAAGAATGAATACGTTCAACTTGATCTGTTTAAAAATACATTTGGAAAACAGCTGAAAAACTATGGAATATTTGGAATCTACAATCTGTAAAGTCAACAGCTACCAAACAGACAGATTCCCTGATGTTTCAAATACACAAAAGCTGCAGCACGGTCTTATATGTGATGCGGATATTTACATTTATATAGGCTCTAGCCCTAATAGTTATCAGGATATATCAAGATTTGTACTCTCGGTGTGAGTGAATATATAATTTTTTATCGTTTTGCAAAGGCGCTAATTACCCCAATGCCTGACAACTTCCTGGAACCACCTGAGGATTGAATTGTTATATTATATGCCACGCAGCTAGACGAATACAAAATATTGTATACTAGTTTATAAGACGAACATATGCATGAAGATAAATTTCTGAAAGTTCTAAAGTCTCCAGCTTTCATACTTTACTTTAAAATAGAGAGATGCACATACAGTAAGTCTATATATAATTCTATAAGTTGTAAACTATGCCTATATCGTCCTTTACAAATGTATGTACGTCACAGGTATCAAGGATAAAGTCATTCTAGCGCCATTCTATTTTGCATTAATCAACGTGAGTTGATTTTTTCTTGAAGTTTAGAAAATAGCTCCTAATGTTGGTAAGTTGGTAAACTCAGCTCAGCAATTGTACGAATATCGTTACTTCTACACAGATTTACAAACAACTAATAGCAGCGTTATGAATCAACATCCCTTTAGTGGATTGGATAAGCCTTTAATTGTATTCTTATAGCTGTTACTACTGTTTTAAATCCTAATACTAATATATCTCTAAGTAACTCTTAGTATTTTAGCTGATACTTAGACATCCCCTACTTTCCATTAGTTGCTTTGATGGACTCTACATCAATACTACACATTCCTCAATTGAGTATGCTAGTATTACATTAACACCTCCTATTTTTATCATAGTCATTGACTCTTTTGGCTATTTGCACTTACATCGTCGTAGTAGAAACGCACTGGAATGTTCTTAAATGACTCCTGGTCGTTGTACGGCTCCATAAGGCGTCTATTGATCGCCCAGAACTGGTCGAATTTATCATTGATCAGGCCCAGCCAGAGTTGATTGTGGTCCTTCTTCTGCATGGCTGAGATCACAAGGCCTCTATGCTTTAGCACGTCGGCCTCCTTTAGGCAGGCCAAGTAATGCGATTCCAGCAGCTCTCTGCAATGGTTAATAAAGCTTATTAGCTACTAATCATATAGAAATATTAATATTAGTCTATGGTATACTTTGTGTTTAATTTGACAAGTGTCTCTTCGGGAAATTTGGAAAAGTGTATGGTAATGCACCAGGGTGTCCCATCCTCATTTGGATGCAGCAAGTCGTACAGCACACCTGTGCATATTAAAATATTTCAATTTACAATTCGAGCTGCCACGCCCATAACACCGCCTATTTATAAGTACCTATTGGATAATGTAGACGGAGCGGCGTTCCATTGAAATCGAACCAAACAGCGCCTTCCTGGTGCTCGGCAGCAATATAGCGGGTAAAATACTTTCGCACCTGTTAACAGCAAAAATTAGTGCAAATCAATCACATACACAAGGAAAAAGGATTGTTATTGTATTTTGTTGCTTGTATTTACCTTGTCTGTGACTAGGGGCAAGTAGCTGAGACGTGAGACCATTAAGTAGAAGGGCTCTGGTCTGAGGCCGACAATTTCTTCGCTGTCTGCCTGGAAGCAAATGCCAATTTGACCTTCCCATATCATACGCAGCACTTCTCGATCGTGTGCCATGTTTTATTTACGAATATTTCTGCACAAAATCCAACTTTTGCACGGGTCGGTATGTTATTATTTTTGCCATTCACAGTAAAATATGTAACAGGTTGGCAGTGCCACTTTCTGCAACATATCGATACATCGTCTGTTCATATTTGGCCACAAAGGCGATTTTGCATGGCGGTCCCATTAAAACCTATCGTTGTCAGTATGGCCACAAAAGTCAGCGAAATGTTTCATTTTAAATGTGGTTTCATTTTGTAGACCACTTAATCATATATTTTTTTTTTAAATAACAAATACTGTAAAAATGCATAACAATATCAAGTAATTCGATTTAAATTGTTATCGATGATGCATGCCAATCATGATCGTTGGCGGTCAGCGCATTCGATATGCCTACATCGTTATGCTGCGTGATAGTTTCGATATTGATTTCGATTGCAGCACATAGAATGCAACTCTGGAAGCGCATAAATAAATAAAGTTACTCGAATTGTGGGCCTGCGGTTGCGTTTATTTTTGTTGCGGTCAAATGTAAATATGAAGTGTGAATCTCAAATTGCAATTCGTCAAGTAACAAAAATCATTAACATATATGAAAACTGACAAGATTGCATATTGTTATTGGCCAATTGAATACGCAAACGAGAAGCATCGGCAACGGGCCTCAACAGAATGGATGTTGAAATACCTGTTTTGGCTGGATATCTTAATGTTCCAACACAAACTGGATTTTCGCTAAATCGTATCTCGAAAAAGGTAAGAGCCTGCCAAAGAACTTGCATATTTACCAACTAACACACTAACTGCACAAATATGCAATGCCCTTAAATATTCTAAATTCAATTTTAACATATTTGGCAATTGCGTATTACAACAGGACCCTCGCCATGTGAATGTGTGTGTTTGCGAGAGCATGTGTATGTGCGTGTGAATGTATGTATGCATGTGTGCACAGACTTGCGTGCCTTTGTGTGTGAGTGTGTGTGTTTGTGTAGATATCTCCATCTGCATACTTGTTGCATACAAATGAGTCGCATAAGGAGGGAGAAAGAGAGAAGCATGCCAAACGGCGAGCCGAACATATTTTCGATTTGCGTGTGCGCGCCTGAGACACACATGCACACGTACACAAACACGCAGACGGTGTCTACTTATGTGCATACATATGTATGTATGTGTGTATGTGTGAATGCTCGCGATGACGGCTGTTTTTTGGGACTCATCCATGTATATAGATAGATATATAGATATGTATATATAAACATATATACACTTATTTCCATATGTCAGGGAATTCTTTGGTGTGCTTAAGCGACTCCATGTCTCTCTGAGCTTTGAGGATTGGGGCCGTGCCCAGCAACAAATACTTATGTCTGCTGTTGTTGTTGTTCTGTTATGTCAGTAACACTCGAATTTTCGTTGGAAATTTGATTAGCACAACATTAAAACTCGATCTTACAATGGTTAGTGCGAGGCTAACACCAAATTAATAAATAACAAAATCTTCGAGATGTACTCGAAGAGTTAGCATAATAGAATCCAAATAAAAATACATACATATATTAATTTTGACTCTATTCATTTCAATCTATGACAGATCTAAATATTTGTTAAATTATGTATATTTTTTATTCTATACAATTATCTAATATTAAGGTCTTAGATTACTAGAGATGAATATTTCTACACTATCTTTACTAAATTTTGGCTATCTTGTTTTTCCAGAAATCATGCAGCCGTTATTGTCTCCTATTCAAAGCCAGTCGCCATGGCATTGCACGCCTAGAGATATGCGAGAATAAGGATGACAAGAATCCAAAGATCTTTACACTTGAGAATTGCGTAAAGATCACACAGGAGCCGCCGCCAGCGAATCTCATACAGATTGTCAAGCGTAATGTTCAACTTACGCTGAATACGAATAGCGATGAGGAGCTCAAGGATTGGGTGACAGCACTCCAAACGGTTGCCTTTTGCGACAATAGCGGCCTACATGCCGCCCATGGTGCCATCGAAGAGGATAATGATCTATATTGCAGTTCATTTGTAAGTGACTAAATTGAACGGACGAATGAAAGAGAGACAAGAAGAGATTTGCCGAAGTTACTTTGAATTTGCAATGTAGCAGGTTATATGGAAATTGTGCTTGGTCTTAATCAGTTTGTATTTACTTAAGAAGAGAATAAGGAAATGGGATTCAAGAAAATGGAAAGATTTTCAAACAATGTATGAGTTAAACTAGAAAAGTTACCACAATTAGAAGTGTTACATACACTATGTCTATATAAACAGCATAATTCGTAGAAGAGAGAAGCATTAAATAATATCCTTCTCCAATAGTTTGTTGATTAAATATTGAAAATGCAGTAGACTTTTAGTTAAAATTCGTTTACTTTAACGACAATTTTGTATTCAATCGCAGGCAGATTCAACAGCAGACAATGTCATCGTCTGTATAGTGTTTGATATTCTCTAGCTGTAGACCTGGGAGGGTTTGTATCCATTTGACATATAAGAGGAACTGCTTGTAGGAAACATAGCGCCATGCATTGCAAGAGTGGCCATGATGATAGGGACAAGATGGATCGTAGATCCAATCGCGAGGATACATGCCAGTATTACCTTTAAGCTTGAAAGGATTGTGACGTCTAATATGAGTGTAAGGAGAGAGCCAATCACTAATCATGCTTGCTAGCCGATAACTAGCCACTACTGTACTCACTGTGCCGTAAGTCCGTCGTATACCTGCTTGTGCACCGCCAGACAACGTCGGATGCCGTTCAATGCCGGCGGTCCATCCCTGGCTCTTATAAAGCTCAATATGAATATAAATGGCATAAGCTCGAAGCGTACAGAACTAATTACTTCGCCGGTAAAGCGTTTACGGAGCGGCCAATTACCCTGCAGCCAAAGTGCCCCTGCATATAGTACCTGCCGAGATTGAAAGGATGGATGGATCATAATTGGTTTTCAATCGATGTCAATGCAGTGTACCCACTTCTATTTCCGAATTCACTCCCAGCGTGTCCGCATCTAGCATCCGTTTTACTTTGTGTGCCTCCAGTTTCTGAAATTCTGTGCTGCCTACATACCGCAAAAAAACGTATCCCACATAGGGTGATAGAAGCCTGTCAACGGTAATGCACCCGCGTTGCGCTACGGTATACATAGGGATAATGTGATTTCGATCCTGAAGCAATTCATGGGTGAAGTCCCACAATTGGTTGCATAGCTCGTCGATTGCCAGGAAGTGGGCACCGCGCAACAGCTCAACGAGCTGGCGGAGCGACATCGACTGAATCGGCTCGATCATCCAGCGATAGATGTTGACAAAGGCACGAGCCTGTATCCTCGAGCCAGGCAAATAAAGCACATGCGAGAAATCGCGATTGTTGAAGAAATTAGACAACGTGCCCAGCAGCAGGGAATGGCAATAAAACTGTTTACCATCGACACAAACGGCCAGTGTAGGTCCAATATTCTGGCTAAATAGATGGCAGAGGTCTTCAATCAGCTCTAGATCATCTTCAAACGTATCGTCAATGATGTGGATAGTTCCTGAATATATCAAATATTCTTGCAAATGTACTTCGGGGAATGTCTTGTCCAACCGTTCCTTCATTTGCTCTAGCGTTGCTGGAGATTCGTCGCAAGTATGTGTACCAGTATAGCATTCTGTCATTGATATGGGGTTTGCGAGCTTATGATCGTAGATATCCTCACGCTTTATATCGTTAACCATCTGGAACTCGTTGAAGATTGCCTTATCAATTAATTTTTTGGTTTGTAGCATTGCCTCGTCGAGTCCTTCGTTGATTAACTCTTGTCGCTGAATGATGTCCCCGTATAGAAAGATATTTTCCTCGACATTTTTTGCTTCTATTTCTTTCTCCCTTTCTGCCTCACTGTCGGAGTCTAGCTGGCTCAGTATTATTTGCCTGTTTACGAATCTGGTGATTCTCTTGCGGTATTCAGAGTAGCTTAAGTTCGCATCCCCTTTTTTAGGCCAGTTCTCTTGAACTGCTCGTATTGGTGTCCAATGCTTATACATTTTCCGTTTTTTCGTTTCATCAGGTTCCTTCAATTGAAGTCTAGGTAATTGCATAGATTTTGCCTCCATTCTGCGAACGTCGAATTTCGAATTTGCCAAACTGAATATTCACACACTAAAATTCTATTATATAAAAANAAAAAGTAAATTTCGCTGCGATAACAATGAAGCATTTTATTTTCTGATTTATAGCGCTGTGCTCCATCGATAGTCGGGTAAAAGGGCTGCATTTCGATTAGTGCATAGCAGAGATTGTGACTATTAGCTCTAGAGCTGGAATTGATTAAAGGAAAAAAGAAAAATGTAATCTCAGCCTAGGTAAATTGCAAGCAAATCCCATTAATGCTGACAGCCAAAAATGCAACAACAATAAAAAGCACGATCTGTATGACTATACTATACAAATGTCTATACGTACAAATCAATTAGCAACACAACGACTCGAAGGCTTTCTAAAACGTGGGTGATTGCATATCAAGATGTATACAGATAAAGTTATAGATGATGAAATAATACAGATATAGAAGTCACATTTTAATATTAATATATATATATATACAATCAACTTCGCTTAAAATTTATGAAATATTATCAGCAAATAATTCAACTGATATGTTTTCGAAAAGGAATACGTGTGTTGAAATTACATTCAAAGCTAGCTGAGGCTCAATTAAGGCCAACTACTTATAGATTGGAGTAGGTAACGCTGAAAAATATTTGACTGAACTCTAAGCCAAACGTAAATTTGCAAACTATAGGGAAAACCTTTTAGAGGGTAAGTATAATATATGAAAGGCTGAAGTATGATGTAAAAATATAAGATAAAAGCAGATAAAGACAGTAATTATCTCATAATTATATTACATAAATTATCTATAGCCAACTGAAATTATATTGAATTGAGACTCAGTAAAAACATATAGACACTCATTTAATAAATAAATATCCATAATTTACGGTTATGSCATAGGTATAGGAATTGAAATGGCTAAAAAAGAAAGATACTCTATTAACATATGTACATAAACAATTTTTTTTTTTTTTGGATATGTACACAATGCAAAAAAAAATAGAGTGAGAAAACAAGAAAGCAATTCATAGTGTTTTGTTAGGGATATGATAAGCAGAAATAACACAACTGTTTTGTTTTCCCAAAAGTTCCATAATCATCAAATGCATGCGCAAAATAGGAGAAAAAAATCGCTTATCGCTTAGAAAAACAAACACGCACCAACTGTGGGTAAATCTTTCTTCTGTTTCTTCTTTTCTGGTTCGTTCTTCTCTCAAAGCTCTTTATTTCCTAAAGAAAACACAGCTGGCCAACGCAGAATATCGTTGCCGGAATGGTCGTTGTGCATACTAATACAAGTGTATTTGCTTTAATCAACAGGACGGATTGTTTATTATAACTCTGATACCATCGGAGGCGTCTATTCGGTGCAACATCGAGCCGCGCACGTATATGCTGCAGATGACGCCGACGGAGCTGCAACTGAAGTCGGAGGATCTGAATGTGACGATTGCCATGTGGCCGTATCGATTCATTCGCAAGTATGGCTACAGGGATGGTAAGTTCCAGTTTGAGGCGGGACGCAAGTGCACGACGGGCGAGGGCGTCTTCACGCTGGACCACACCAATCCGCAGGAGGTCTTCCGCTGCATGTCCGCAAAAATGAAGTCGATGAAGAAGCTAATCAGCGGCGACAGCCTCAGCAGCATCGAGTGCGTCGAGAATCAGTTCAGTGCCGCCGCCTGCATGGAGCCCGGCTCGCGCAGCCCGCTGCCGCCGTCACCTTCGAGCAATCCGCATGCCGGCGAATTTGAGATGAACTCAACGCAGAGCTGCATCTCGCTGCGCGGCTTCATCAGCTCCAATGATTCGCTGAACAACTTCTCAACGAACGGCAGCGCCAACAGCATCAGCCTGTCCGTGCCATCGCAAGCAGCCGGCAAACACATTCCCAACAAGCCGCCGCGCAAGCTGCCCACGCCCCTCGAGAAGCTCAATATGGGCCCGGCGGCAGCCGCTGCTGCGGCTGCGCTGCCAGCTCCAGCTACTGTACTGCCTGGCACAATAACTCAATGTGATAAATATAAGAATCTTCTGAAGTATGAACCGGTTGCCATAACCACATCGTCGCCATCGGATGCCAACGGCAAGAGCAGCGGCTCGGCTGTGATACTGAAGCCTGCCTCCCCAGATCCGTTGCGTGCCGTTGCCGGCGGTGGCAGCAGCGTCGGCGGTGGTAGCCCGCCCGACCTGCCGCTGAGGAACGAGAGCTGCTGCAACAAGCTAGCGCTGGAGCGTGACTACGAGTCCATTGAGAACATAACCGAGGCGTGGAAGACGCGTGGCGTTGGCGACGTGCGCCACTGCGAGCGCATACCCTCGGCCATCAGCTGTGACAGCGACTTTGTGCGGCAGCGCTCGCAGTCGCAGCGCGACAAGCGCAAGGATCTGAGCACCAGCGGCGCGACAAGCGGAAGCAGCACGCCCAAGATAATAGACATTGATATTGGCGAGGGCGTGGGCGTGCTGGTGTCGCCGGATGCCAACTACGATCGCCTCGACTTTCTATCGCCGAACAACAAAACCTCCAGCGGCTACAAGACCATTGTGAACGTAACACTGCCTGCGAATCGTATACGCTGCAGTCCGCCGCCGCCGAATGAATATGAACTGATTGCTAGTCCCGATACGGAAAGTTTTCGCAAGGCCGACGATAGTCATCTGGGCTATGGGGTCCTGCGCAAAGCCGCCAATAATACTGCCATCAGCAACAACAACAACAACAATAATAATAATAATAATAATAACAACAATAATAACAATAACACTAACAATAATAATAATAATAATAATATAAATGTCAGTAATAATAACAACAGCACGACACTGCCCGCCACAATCAACAATAGCAACAGCAACAGCAGCATCAACAACAATAGTAGTAGCAGCAGCAGTCTAACGGGTCTCTGTGCCACGCCCACGACGAACTTAAGCAACGACGCCGCCCTCGATCATCGCAACTACAACGGCCTCAACTATACGATCGTCAGCAAGCCCAAGCGTGTGTGAGAGCGCGTGCGTGAGAGTGAGAGAGAACACAGACAGATACATACAGACATAGATTGTTAGACAGAGACAGTGAGAGTTGACGCGAGAAAGAGAGAGAGCAGACTCTGAAGTCGTAGCTCTCATGTGGAAAACATAAACCATTCGAATAGAAACGAACAAGATATTAATGAAAAAGACAGAGAAAGACAGTGAGAGGAAGCGACGAGCAGTGCGCATTATTAGACAATCATTTTCATACAACCAGTGGATCTCTAGAGCTCTCGTTGCATTTATAGCCCAACAGTAAACCTTATACAATATTATAAAGCGCAAGCAAATAAAAAAAAAAAAAGAAATTGCTCAAAGAACAGTAGAAGACATTAGGGGTGTTTCTCGAAAATATGTTAAGCTGATTCAGCTGAATTTATTAGAACTGAATGAATGTATTATAACCGTCTTTCCATACTATAGACTACATTAACTGATTATTGTTGTTTGTCTCAAATGTTTTGCAGTCACAAATCTATTCTTAGACTGATCATTTATCAAATTTCACAAATTTCGTCTTTTTTTAAGCAGATTTCTTTTTGACTTAATCCGGCGTGCAATATCATTGTTTCAATGTTAACAAATTCATTTATATATTTGGAATTTTAAACACTTTTTGTCTGAGAAATACTAGAATATATATACTAAATGTAAATCATATCCGATGTTTTTTTTTATGTGAAAAATTGTAATTTATTTAAGATAGACTAAAGTCTAGAATGTTGCCATAACGCTACTTTTAAAGATATCTACTTCTGGACTTCCGAATAACTTTTGATTCAATTGTAAAAAAATATTGAATGTATCCATTCAAATCTCTTAATCCTAAAATGTATTGCTAATTGCATTTGTGAAGCGTGTTTCTACTGTTTTGAGCTTAAGTAAGATCTTTACGATGTTATATATACGAGACTAGAATGTGAACGAAAGCAGACAAAAATAACTCTGTTGTTATTAGAGATAAGCAGCAGCAGCAGCAGCAGCAGCAGCAGCAATAACACCTATTACTTGCATGTACATGTAGATATATAAGTAATACGTATGCCAATGTATCTATGCGCACATTTAGTTTTATATCGTGTTAAAGCGGGGCTTTGATCTGTGGCGCCTTTGTTGGGTGTCGTTGTGAACGACATTTGGTATTTCGATTTGTGCATATACCAAAATTGTGGCGATCTTTCCAATGTACTTTGATTATTTTTATATATGCTTCAACAGTATATTATTTTTTTTTTTTATTATTATTTTTATGCATATATA